AACACACTTTCTCCCAGTGGTTATTTAAAACTAAGTAACTTTATTTAAACACATATCCAAACGACCTTAAGAAATACGATAACATATATTTCTCTCAACTCTACATTTAATGCCATATGTTGGAAGTACCAACAATTTTAATTTAAAAACCTTTTCATATTCTAAAATAATGTACTTCTTGAAACTAGTTGTGATTTTCTTATTTTTTAACGACACCGGAATATTACAATTCTGTCAGTTGAGCCATTTCACATTAAATAGCACAAGAATTATCACTACCTTTTCTAAAATGTAGGATATTTTTTCTTAAATTTGGACATCAAGAAGACACGCGTGTTTCTTTTATTTGCTAGAAAATCGATTATTTCTTTAGTAATGCCTACAATAAATTTTGGAATTGAGGCGTACTTTGCAAAGTATGATCAATTGATTCTTCGAATTTCCTTAATATAAAAATTCTTGGCTTGATTCTTTTAACACTTTGAAATGTGTATTTTATTCCTCTATAAAAACATTTTTCAAAAAATACATATATCTTCAAAAACTTCAATTATTTAAGACAAATTAAAATTTCTATATGAACTTGATCAGATAAAAATTTTATAAAAGTGAAGGCGTTTTTCTTGCTCGATTTCATTTAATAAACAACAAGAAAAAGTGTGCATTTCACACGTACGGTTCTAAATTGCAAGTCTGAAGGCGTGCTCTCGTTTTTCATGCTCTAACGAATTGTCTCTGATCCGCAGAAGAACAGTAAAAATAATGACCGTCTACCTCATTATGGTTTCAAGAAATATTAATATCTCACATGTTCACCAGGATGGATGTGTGACAGCAAAACGAATTGAATCGTTTATTTAAGAAAACCGTCAAACGCCAAATTCCTCATTTCGGGAGAGAACTGAGAAAAAGTCTCCAAATTTTCCAGATTTAAAAATATTTTTATTTCTTAAAGCATTTGATAAATGATTTTTTTTCATATAAATATGCACTAAACGATGTGTATATACTTTTGGAACAATAATCCGTCGTTAATGCGCGTTGTTAATGCGTGTTGTAGACTTTGGCGTTTGACGATCGCCGATTTATGAAATAAACGATCCAATTCATCTACTGCTTTTCCTTGGTGAAGCAAATTTTACTGCTCAATTCCTTTGGGTCCTATGAATGAGTCTTCCTTCTTATCTTTCTAGTCAAATACAAGAGACCACTTGTGAAGGCTTATGAGTTAAAACGTTGACTGATCACCCGTCGAAATACGCTTCTTGTTAAGTAAAGGCTGCTAGAATTTGTTCTGTGAATCGTATGTACACTACGGTGAACGATTGGCGGTCACCGTGCAAGGTACTCTAGATGTTTAAATCTATTTCATCTTTCTAATCATGGTTTTAAAAAGAGAAAATCTCAAGATGCCGAAACGGCGATTTACTTGGAAACCGTGAATAAGAGGAGTCCGTATTTGTTTATTTGTGATTCATATCGGAAAGTTATTTACTTTTCCGATGGTTCAAGTGCACAATACAAATATATGAACAGATTTAAAAATATTTGTCTCCACGAAGAAGATGCAGAAACAAAATAAAGTTTGTGCATAAATCCATTTCTGTGTGACGCCACATCGCAAAGGACATGATACGGCATTTTGCCACTTGAGCTAGCATACAACCAGAGTTAAGATCCAATTACAACGCTGAAGAAAGTATTTACTCGGTCAAAAAGAAGTATTTATAATATTTCGTTTTTGAGATACGCACAGTCATCACAGTGAACATTTAATGTCTATCAACATTTAAAACCAATAACAGGAAATTGAAAAAAAATTACTTCTTTGTCACTATATAAAGCTACAGTGAAACTATACTCTTTCGCTACAGAAGGTAAGTGAGTAATTTTGAAGTGAGTTGTAGGGGATAAGAAAATTTAAAAATGTGTCAAAATGTGAGTTAAGAATTCTTGAATAAATAACCAAGTATAATAGTGAAGTTGTACCACCTCAATAAGTATATTACTGTTCTGCCATGCAGTAGCCCAAGAAACGGTGTTGCAGCCATCTACTACACACTGGTTCGTAAACATTTCATAGTTTTTGAAGTTACTGAGAGATCTCACTTATACTTTTTTCTGAATTTGTCCACTATACTGAAATGCGCTTTAATTTTTTTTTTTCAAAAATGGTAGATTATCAAGTTTACCAAAATAATTTAGTTTTTAGAATTTAATTGTTTTAAAAAAATTAAGGAAAATAAATATTTTGCAAAATTTAAAAAAATTAACATGTTTTTAACTTTTGAATGGATATTGACACTAATTTTAATTAGTGTATTCAAGAATAGAGGAAATAATCCAAAATCTATTCCCGATTTTTTCGAATATTTTTAAATCTTATTTTCCAAAAAATTAAATCAAAATATTTGTAATGCATACCTTAATCAGGTATAACAATATTCTATTCTATTTAACGTCATTGTCCAAGTAGTTAAAGCCTTAAATATTTTTTGTAAACATTTCATTTTGTGAATTTATAAAAAGGGTTCCTAATGTGAGACTCCCACAAACGTTTTAAGAAATAAATAAAAACTAAATAAAATAACAGGATAAATTAAACACAGTATAATTTTACAAAAGCACAACTGTAACACCTTATACGTAAGAAATTGTTTTACATCTTAGACTGTATATCCGCGTGCAACAAGAGTCACATATATTAGCAAATTTTTTCGCCCCCGCATATGGTACATGAGCCCAGAGTACCATTAGGCACATGACCCATAGTTCTTATTCAGCTCTTTGTAGATTTGCCCTGCAAAACATGACTCTGCATCTTATTCACTTGGGAGAGAAAAGATTCCATTATTTCCAGATAACATGTTTCATTTGTCGCGTACGATGGAATCATCCTTTGTCTTTTTGTGTAATTCCAAATTTTCTTAAATCTCTATCTTTTCGCCTTCTCACGAATTAAGTTATGAAACTGTGTCTTGACCTCTTTCTTCTTCCTACCTTCCGGAACTGACAGACTACAGAAAATTCTCTTGCTTTTATTAGTCTTCTAAGACGTAAGGACTGCCAAATACCTTAATTTTTTTATTTTACAAGACGAAAAATCGGGGGGTTATGTTGGTAACTTTTTGCGGGTTTCGGTTAGGCGCCAGTGTGTATATATTTCAAACACCAATACCATTTTTACAATTCAAGTAAAATAAACTACCCTACATCCATTGCTTGGAATTTCACCTTCAAAATAATGTAATTATTTGAAGACTTACCGATGAAATTATGTGAAAACTTTTCACTGCTCGCACAAAAGGCCGATTGTCCAGCAACAAGTGATAATAAAGACTCTACCACTTGACTGAGCCTAGAGTTTAGAAAGAACTATTTTGGTAAGTTTTCAATAAGCAATATTACTCTAAAAAGCTGTAAATCGATGGGTTTGCATTGGAAACCGGCCCCGCGTTTGGATAATTTTATCTATGATACTTCAAATTTAGTGATGCGCTTCATTTTTAGCGAATTTCAAAATGAAATATATCCAAAATAATTAAGTTAAAAAAATTAAAATGCGTATGTTAACAAATTTGATTCATATAATAAATATAAAAAGAGAATAATACAAATTTGAAGGTCACATTTTAGTATTTTTAGTGCGATTTTACGTGAAATAACGGCGTTGCCCCCTACGAATTACTCAGCGATCTCCTGAAAAACTCTTCAGGAGAAAACTGCAGATGATACGAGTATTTAATTTTCTCAAGTTAAAATATTTTATTTATAATCGGATTTAAACCAAGCGCACTTCGTTCCATTAAAAAAAATATTGAGAAAAAAGTAACCTGGGTATCTTATCCCTTTCTCCGTATCAGCAAGTCACCAAGAAGTCAACTCGCCTTGGAGAATTTATAGCAATTGAAAAAACTATTCACTGTTCGATCTGTTCAAATTCTCATTTACTGTTAATAAAGATAAACATTAAAAACCTTTTAAAATACTAGAAATTTCAGAAATCATAATGAATCAAACCACAAATGAATGATATCAAACCACAAAATGTTCAATGTAAACCAAATTGTACTCCAAATTTACACAGTTTATGGCACTTTTACAATAACTTTCTGTATAATGGTAAGAAAAACAATCTATTGACGAAAATAGAATTCAAAAGTTTAAAAAAAACTAAATTAGCGTGAGAGATGATTACCAAATTTAATTTTAGGGGAGAAAACAAACTTGTCTTTCTGACTTGTCTTTCTGACTTGTCTTTCTGACTTGTCTTTCTGACTTGTCTTTCTGACTTATCATTTTTAAACATCTCTACACAGTATTTGGTTGGTTGGTTGGTGGGTTGGTTGGTTGCCTTATTTGTTTGGTTGGTTGTGCCTTCTGTTGTACGAAATTTGGAAGTGATTATTATGAGGGATGAAAGTAGATGAGGAATGAATAATTATTGATGAGTAACTCTTGTAATAAAGCCAACTACGCTATATTCCTATTATAATGAATACATTTAAAACTACACATCCTACAGTGTGTATTATTGCAGTCGGATATGCATTGTTTTGGTGACTGCTTCTCAAAGAATTGTCCCACACACCATGGCGTCCGTGCGACAGAGGTTTCAGAAATAATCGTCCCCTTTTTCTGGGTGCAGCCGGCTGTACAGACTCGCTGTGACTATGTTGCCACCGCACAGTCTCAACCGCTTGATCTTGCGGTTGATAAGAAAGAAATTGTTGAATGGTCACTTGGATATGTATTTTCCGAAAGAAAATTCGTAATTCGTACGATATCGTATGCATTATTCCGACGCTTGTTGGGTAGAATTCAAATTTTTTACCTGTAGCTTTGTCGTTACGACCACTCATTCTGCCTGGGATGGGTGTTTGTCAAGCTGTAGCTGGAGCGCTGCCAGAAGATAGCAAGTGTGTGTGTCTCGCCTAGCCGCTTCCTTGGCACTATATAAGTAATTTCGTGCTCGGTGGTGTTTGCGTCTTGTCTGGGCCTCAGATTAGAACTACGATGTCGCGCAACCCTTTTCCGATGACTGCGCTGCTGCTGTTAGCAGCTTCGACGCCGCTGGCAACACTGCCGAAGTGCGCTTCTGTGGAAGAGCTCGCCTTGGTCCTAGTCTCCTCCGCCAACTCCACGGGCCACCGGAGGTTAAGTGCGCGGCTGGAGCAGCCATTGCGGAGGCAAGACTGGAGGTTGGATGTGCGCGTTGGGGCGTCTGCGTGCGGGGGCGAGTCAGAGGACATCCCTCGCCAGTGGCTCGTTCTCACTCTGGACGGACCACCTTCGGGGCACCTTCTTTCCTTTTTGAATTCGCCCACGCCCTCGCCCACGCCCTCACCCCACACCTCACCCACAGCCTCGCCTCGTCCTCGCCCACGGCCCACTCGCCTCGCCCATCGGCCCACCGACTACCACGCCCTCGCCCACGACCTCTCCACGCCTGGGCCACGCCCCTCGCCCACGTCCACGCCATCCCTCGCCTCGTCCGCGCCCTCGCCTCGCCGCCGCCGCGCCCGCGCTCCCCGCGCCGCCCGCATCCTGACGCTGGCCAGGCCTGGGCACTACCGCGCCATCCCACGGCGGCTGACCAGGGACGAACGCTGAGCGCCCTCTGCGGAAAGGGGGGCGGGGCGCTGGTGGTCCCGACGTCGCGGAGCGAGGTCGACTTGATATTCACGCACTTCTTCCCGTTCAATTCCACTGGTAGCGACAATCCCAGTCTCATGTGGCATGGCGCTACCGACCGTGTAGAGGAAGGGAAATTCGCCACAGATGATGGCGTGCCTTTAGAGGACGTAGGATACGCAGTTTTCGAGTCAGGTCAACCGAACGGAGATGTAAATGTAAATTGCCTTGTGATATTCCAAAATACGAGAGCTCTATGGGACACGACATGTAATCGTAAATTGACTTGTATCTGTAAAGTGCCTCTCTAAATCCCTGTTTCCTATTTCAATGTTTATATGTATAGATAAATGTTTAATATTCAATCAATACTAGAACATTAGTTCTCATATGGTTCTTTCTAATAGCATAAATTGGAAAACAACGAAAATAAACTGTTCACGTGCACTGTTAAGCAATATTTTATTATAACAAATAAAAAATACCTTGAAATAAATAATTGTGTTTTATATGCTTACCTGGTCATTCTTCTGCACGAAATCCTTCGCGGACACAAATACTGCTCAGGCGAGACTTGCGGACAATGAAGGATTGGAGTTATCCTGTGCTCTGAACCCATGTGACCTGTACCTGCAGCGAGTTCTTGTGAATTCCGTCGTTGTAATTTAACTTACTTCTTCTGGAGTTAGATTTTGAGTCTTCAGGCAATTTCTCATAGGTAATACAATACGAGCTTGAGAAATTATTGAAAAAATCCCCCAGTCGGGAATGAAAAGTTTTTATGAGATCAATACAAGCTCAAAAACTGAGATTGTGCAGGTGGCATTACAATAACAAGAAATCATGATATTCGAAACAAAAAAAATTAATTGTTTCGATTGACGTCGTTGATCTGAACTTCATCTTCATTAAGCTGAGACTAATTTAGTAATATGATCTGCTAGAACACATATTACAATATTCATTATCGAACTCTGACTAGGGGTTTGTTTAATATTTTTCGAATCTCTCAGAAAATGCTACTATTTTACGTAGAGAATGTGTGAAGATACGAACATCGGGCCAAATTTATCCACTTTGTACAATTTTTATATAATTTTCGTTTAAATACATTACAGTTTTCTATTCATATTGGAATTGGTGCCACTGACGTTGATAGGTATTAGAGTGCATGTTAATCAATACTTAGAAACGGAGGCTTCCGCGGCCGGTGTCAACATTAATGACTTAGAACCAACCAGCCGCCATTGCGGATACTTCGTCGGAAATTCCGTCGCCACAGATGATGTCGCCAGCTTTCCTGAACGACATCTTTGGCTCCTCAACGTCAAGTAGATAATGGAATATCAGTACGGAAAAAATTATTAAAATTTGAACATTTTCCAATAATTCTTACTAAGGAATTGATGTTGTTTGTAATAATAGGTGATGGTTTCTCCTAACAATTGTGTTCAAATTAGAAAACAAACAAATTGAAATCACCTTCGAAGTGAACAGAAGACTCCCGATCACTTGGTCACTTTTACATTTATTTAATTATTTATAGCATAAATACTTATGAAGCAGCACAAATAAAATGTGAAGAAACATTCACTAATTATTCGCTTTCATACAAAAATAGAATCAAGAAGATGGTTTTGGTAGAGTCGGGAAATGAGCGTTTAGCGAAGAGAAATGGCAGGTATTGAAATCGTATACTAGATTATGTCTATGTTATGATTACAAATACTGAAATTTTTTATTCTGTAAACCTACTAATTCATTGAGAGGAGAGAGTTAACACAATGTGTCACGTCGTTATGATATTATGATACGATACACGCCATTATGATACGAGGATTGGGGCAGAAGTCATGGCAACTGTTTTTACTTTCTTGGTACTGCTTCCTCAGTATTGGTAAAGTATTGTAATGCTGCGAGGAAAAACGTTTAATTGTCCACACATGAACTTTAATTGTCATTCCCTGATTATGAAAAAGTAGATAAAGCTTGTCCCTATGTAGAGGAAATTGCTTTCTATAACACTTCGGGTAGTCGGAATCCATGTTTTGTGGGCCCTTGATATCAAATCATTAACTGACAGTAAACGCCTGGCCGTCTGATTATCTATATGTCAGTGAACAATGCTAGCCGGTACCCCGTAAGTAGGATTTTTACCAAAATTGATAATCCCCCAATCGATCTGGCTGATGGAGGCCGCTTGAAACTGATGGTTTAATTTTGAGAGATTCTTTGAATCCCCTGAAATAATATGAAAATTTTCAAACATTCCACCAAACTTTCCGATTGAATTTTGACCTCGAATATCGAAAAAAAGAAAATCTTCAGAAAATAGTGTAGGTTTCCTTCTCGTCAAAAACTTTGATTTTTCTAAAATCCCCAAAATTCAATTTTTTGGCGTGTTCTACAACTAAAATTACGAAGATATGTATTTGCTAAATGAAATGTGTTCAACAGACACATCATCGAATAGAGGCATGTTCATTTTCTTAAATTACTAGTTGTTTGCGTAATTTTTAAATTTTGACAATTATTTTCTCGAAAACGGCACACATTTTTTCTTGGTACTGCGTCCGCAGAATAGAGAAACAATTATACCAAAGTATTACGCCGCAAGGAATGGTAACGGAAGTGGTGCTAGCTCCACTTTTGACGCACACTAATTCGCACGTAAATTCCATCGTTGCTACACGGATGTGTAAAATACAGTTTTGCTAGTAAATATTCTCTCACTAGAAATATTTGAAAACCACTTGTATACGAGAATATTTCGAACTTTTCCTAGCACTGTCATATTTCATCTGTAATGGCTTTAATACATGCTGATAGAAAATAAAATAACGAAATCGGAGATCCCTGTATTATAATCTAAAAACACTTTTTTTCTTGTTCACTAACCAATGAAACGGGCCATAGCCAGGGAGCAAATTCGGGTGAGAGGAGTGTATCTCCCAGCGATATATCTCGCCTCTGCCACCGACAGGGGCCCGAAGCGAGAGGCCTAACCCGGATTTATAAGCAAGAAAACCAATCTGCATAAAGTTCTCAGATGATGAACAGCCGTGAAGGGAGATTATACAGGCTAGCAAGTTCAGCCCATCTCGTCCTTAGCCTGCCTTTGGAAATCACGCTCTAAATATGTGTTCCATCCTCAGCGAAATTGTGGTTGGTGGGGGTAATAGTGAAGTTGAAGTTTCACGTCCTGAGTGTGTTTCCACTAGTGCTTCTATGTGCTCTATTCTAAGTTCATGTAAAACGTCAAACATGACACCTTCAAATAAGATGTTTTGAAATTGAAATACATGGATTCACCCTCGTACTGTTTGATCAGAAAGTCAACTGTAAAAGGTTTCACTTTCATTCTGATCATTTTCTCTTGCCTATTGAAAAAAATAGTTCAGATTTATTATCCAATATATTACGAGTAATAACTAAAATAATGCTCATATAATAGTGAGGAATGTAACCATATTTGTTAAAATACGAACCCCAAAAAATTATAACATACGAAATATTGTCATTACTCGGGCAATCCACTAACCTGTAAAGATTCAACTCCTCGTATGATTTGATCGCGACTGTTTTCCCGCCTGATCTTAAACCCGGGGTGATGGAACCATGCGTAAATTCATGCTTGACGCAGTGAAACACATTGAGCTGAGTTTGAACTAAATAGGTTACTAAAACAATCTCTTAAAATAAAGATGAAATCAAAAATGAAATAAAGATTTTTAATTTAAAAGTAAACAGACTTTTTCTTTTGTGGTGACTGTGGAATTCCCACCACTGATGGATCTGCACCTTCTACATTCCTTCATTCTTTTTCGTCCCTGCTCTACAGTCCATTCGAGAAATTCTATTTCATTGCATTGAGTTAATACATTCTAAGTTAATACATTATAAATGAAGCCGTATAAAGCTTAGCAGGAACATACGTATATACTCGAGATTTCAACTATCTAGTTTCGGTAATTTTGACCCTGAGTTGGTATGTCTGTCATTTAGGCAGTTCTTCACTCCTGCTTTACGATATTATGCGAAATGTACCAAACCGCTTTTAATTGGAGAACGAGTTGAACGGAAATATATGGGTAGAACACTGTTTTTCCACAACGTACAATCCGGGCGAGAGCAACATGGAGGTGCTAAGCGTGACCAGGAAAGAAAATGGTAATAAGCGAGAAGGTGCAATTGGGAACGAAAGCGCGAGAGAGCGAAGCGAGGGGATAACAGAGAAGAGTGGAGCCCGAACGTGACTAAGAGAGACAAAGAGAGAGGGAGAGAAAGGGAGCGGAAGAAAAAGGGAGAGGAAGAGAAAAGGAGAGGAAGGGAAAGGGAGTGGAAGGGAAAGGGAGTGGAAGAGAAAGGGGAGTGGAAGAGAAAGGGGAGTGGAAGAGAAAGGGGAGTGGAAGAGAATATCTAAAAGAAAATTCGTAACAAAATTCAGTTAAAAATAAACGGGTAGACAAATGCCGTTAGCACCTAGTTGAAGAGAGTGAAAACTTACGAATTCCATTAGAATGGTACTATAATACACAGGGTAGTAAATTTATACATAGCCTTGGGTTAAGGAAAAAAATATTCCGATCAATCTAGGTTTAGTTAGTTACTTTACGGA